CCCTTTCTGCTCTAATGTTGACACACACACACACACACACACACACACACACACACACACACACACACACACACACACACACACACACACACACACACACACACACACACACACACACACACACACACACACACACACTGACCTCACACACCAAATCGGGATAAATAAAGTACATCTTATCTTATCTTAGGACATTGAATGAGTCCGGTCCTCGCAGGGCAAGTTGTTCAGGCATCGTGTTACCTGTTGATGCACATGTGCACACAACGCTTTTTTTTCTTTTCGTTTTAGCGGGAGAGAAGGCGAACAGTCAAGGTCAGTAAATGGAGGTAGAAAACTATATATGCAGAAAAGATGTATCATTCTGTTACCATATGTTTCCTACTTGACTCACAACAGAATTTGCATTTACAAGCAGATCGAAGGAAACGGGTTAACATCATTTTTTGTCAGACATTTGTTTTTCTGGCTTCTTCCTGTCTAAATGTTGATTATTTTCGCACCAACACACACACACACAGTATTCGACTGAATCCAATACGCTTTGGGAAATCAATTGCAGTGATCAGGACATTTAATGAGTCCGGTCCTAGCAGAACAAATTCAGAGTAAAAAGGGAAGAGTTAAACCTTTGACCAGCCGCCTCTCCTCCTCCCTCCCTCCCTCCCTCCCTCCCTCCACCCTGCAGCCCTATAGCAGTGACAGGTAGATTAAGGGGTGTGATAGATGCCCCTCTCTGTATCTCCCTCTCTCCCCCCCCTCACCCCCTTTTCCCTCCCCTCCATCCATCATGGCGGCTGGTGTAATTGCGGCTGCGTGGGGCTGGCAGAGGGAGCCTCCATCCATCTCCTTAACAACAAACAGTCAGGAGGACGGATTGCGCTGCAGCTCCCCAGTTAATCTCCATCTATAAGAGGGAGGTGGTGGTGGTGGGGGTGGAGAGGAAGAAAATAACAGAAGGGGAGAAAGGCAGTGTTGGCTTACTATAAACAAAAAGAGATGGAGAGGGGACGAAAAGGAAGAAGATGAAGACCTTTTTACAAACATACACTAACATGTACTTCAAATAAAGTGCCTAATT